TGTGGCCTAAAACTCTGCTCACTCTTTTTTTTGAGAAGTACACCTCAATCTGTCTGGTAGATATCCTTTTGTTAGTAAGCAATCCATCTATTTCAATCCGATTAAGATATGCTTCTTCTGGTCATTGGTTGATTTCATTACTGAAATCTGCACTTGCTTCTCGTTGTATCATTGCTTCATGTCATTAGTTCAATTCACCCCTTACAGTTAGTTGTTCATAGCTGCAGAACTGTAGGGAAAATATCATGTGGAAAAATTAGTGTCCTGGTTATATTTTACCTCGCTTTAATGTGGTCCTGTTTTTCTTGATTACGGGTTCTTTGTTAGTGCTCCTTTGCATTGCAATCTTATGCGTTTGGTTGTCAGGTTGCCTCGTATTTTCTGTTGTTTCCATACAGGTTACTCGGGATTACATACTTATGCAAAAGAAAATACTTTTTTAATTGCTGCCACGGGAAATCGTTGTGCAAGTAATTGTCACAAGAGATTTGAAGAGCATAGTTTCTGTATGTGCATGATCTTACTTAGATGTGGACCTGGAGATAGATAGCCTCGGGCACGAACTTGGAGAATGCCTTAACTTAAATAAACATGATTCAGTGAGTTGGACGATCTTACTTTTCATCTGGATTTTAATCAGTGGTGTCGATATTTGATGATAGGCTCGAGTTTAATCAAATGGGGTGGTGAGGCTTGGTAATCCCTTACATACCATGCATATTTCTCAATTTGCTGCAGCTCGTGCACAAAAATATGCCACATTCTCTAAAAGTTATTAATACTGATAAATATTTTTTTGGTTCTGTGACTTGATTCCTATTTAAATTCCAGCCTCCTTGCATAGTAGAGCAATAGCATGGCCGGTGATGTCCTGAAAAATTTAGGACACTGCTGTCCATATTGTTTAAATGTAATGCCTAAGATGCACTGTCCTGAAGTTTTGCAGTCAATGACTGCTGTTGATATACTTTTATTGCTTAATAACCCCAGAATGGTAGATACACTGTTCTCAACTTTTAGGATTTCAGCTGCTGTTTATACCTTTAGAGTGGCCAATTTCGAATTGACATCGAAATTGCTACCAGCTCAGAAGCTGCAGGTACTGATTGCCATCTTCATATTGGATTGGTTGAGTTTGGAGCTATGCACCAGTTATGTCTGATAACCATGCGTTCTGCTGTAATCATCCAATATTTTTGCTCCGGTCCCTTACTTTAAATTTCCGCCGCAGCGGCGACCATCAGACCTCATGGGCAGGAAATTTCCATGAGTTTTGACTTTTGAGTATTTTTGGCAGGAAATTTGGTTGCAGCTCTGGCAACACGCCTACAAGTCCTCTGGTGAAATAGCCCTGAAAACGACTGAAATTGTTGCTACTTTGACACTGTCTGCTCAAAGCATTGCTGCTCTGAACTTTATGCTTTCCCATTGTAGAAGCTTCAGTGTGCAAGTTTTCAAATGAGGTAAATACACCACAAGTGCCTAAACTTGTCCGGCGCGGTCAGTTTAGTGCCTAAAGTTGCAAAATACATAAAAGTGGTGCCATGACTTGTCCGAATGGTGCATATACGGTGCCTTTGCTGCCGCCCAATATTCAGTGATCTGTACTATTCAATACAACAAAATACCAGTTATTTATGCAGAACAATTTAGTTGTCTACTTTACATACACTGCACACATTCACTACATCTCTAACGCATTGCACTTGCACACATTCAGCACAAATATTCAGTACAGTGCAGTGCACACATTCAGTACATCACCTGTCATGAAAAATTCAGTTAACTGTACAATCAGGTGTCACCAAATTCAGTTAACTATGCGTCATCCGTACCCAAAATTCAGTTACAGATCTTTCTATTTTTTCAGTTCGAAAAATCTCCAGATCTGAGCTGAAATGACCAACAAGACAAATGATCACATCTGAGCAATATTATAGTCTAATTTGGACAAGTTATCTGAGCAATACGAGCGAAGGCACCGTATCTGCACCATTTGTACAAGTTATGGCATCACTTTTACGTATTTTGCAACTTTAGGCACTAAACTGACCGCGCCGGACGAGGTTAGGCACTTGGGGTGTACTCCCTCTGTTTCTTTTTAGTCCGCATATAAGGTTTGGTCAAAGTCAAGCATTATAGAGTTTGACTAACTTTATATTAAAAAACATAAACATTCACAATATGAAATCAATATATTTAGATGCACCATGAAATATATTTTCATACTATATAGTTTTAGTACTGTAGATGTTCATAATTTTTTATATAAATTTGGTCAAACTTTGTGTAGTTTGACTTTGACCAAATCTTATATGCGGAGTAAAAAGAAACGGAGGGAGTATTTACCTCATTTGAAAACTTGCAGCTAGAAACTCCATAAATTTGCATGATGTCAGTTTATTATTTGATGATAAATGCGATGGTGTTTCTGTGTTCATTTGTTAAGGGGGTGTAGTATATTCAGGGGTATTACAGAGTTCCAAACTGAGAGCATTGCCATCTACGTGCAAATGCAACAAAAGCATTCAGTGCCACTTGCCGCCATAATTAAACATGTTGAAATGCGGAGTGCTGAGGGCTGACTGAGATACGAAGTATCCATTGATAAAAAAAAGAGTAAAAAATAAAATAAAAACCCCGGAAACTAAATACACAGGGGGAATGGTATAATGGAGCGATATCAGTCAAGTTGCAGACTGCATTGTAATGGAAAGGTTGTCTTAGGCAGGCGCACCAGCGCTGCGGTCTTGATAAATATTGATGTGGTTACCTTGATTAATACTGTCTTGAAGGCAGACTCAACATCAGCAAGCACAAGTTGAATTCTTTTGATGAGACACATGCGGATGTCCTGGAGGCATGGCAAACATTCCATGCCTACTGGTTGGTTAACAGAAATTTAGCATAGTAGGCACAACTTATTTGAACTGAAACCTAGCGTCACGAAATGTAATATAGCAGTGGTTGGTTGACAGTAACCTTGTCTGTCTTTCTTTCGAGCTAACCCATAGGCATTGGGACTTGCATTACCTTGCATTTAGTGCATGTGGACTTTGTTTTGGTGGTTGGCTGAGGTGAGGAGCTTCCCAAAAAACCTCAAAAGTTGTAAGGTTGCCTGTGTTTTCTGGACTATTTGGAGGAGCAGAGAGTACATTGTCTTTTTGCGTTGATTCATCTGATTTGCTACTGGATTAGTTCATGGTCTGTTTTACAGAGAAAGCAGGAAAATCGAAATGCATTGACGTGACGTGAGGAGCAAAGCTGATCGAGCACATAGCAAGCGAAATCTTGAGGGCATCTCAGGGTTGGTGTCCGGGCATGCAAAGGCTGAGCATTCTGCCTTGGCTGGTTGATGCCTTTCCTTGATTGACCATAACTAGTACGTATTCTTGAAGTTCTTTCATTTTGTTTTCTTTCCTTGTCTTCAGTTTGGTTAGTTGTCTCTTAACTAATAGTCCCTTTGTTTTTCCTAGTCCCTCCGCACCATAATATATATACATATATGTCGTTTTAGCAGTTGAATTTGGGTTGCTAAAACGGCATATATTATGGTACAGAGGAAGTATTAAATCAAATGGGAGGGGGAGGCCCCTCTTTTATCAAAAAGAAAACTTTGAAGCTGCTGAAGCTTTTCAGTCCTAGTAATGTGAGTTACTGAATTTATGGAAGTCAAGGTTATCTTATATGTCGGTGTTCTCAGGTGCAACTAAATGTACGCATATGATTTTAGCATAGAGGTAATGTAGATTGAAGGAAGAAGAAGAAGAAGAAAAAACAGTCTGCCTGGCTGAATATAAAAAATGCAAGGTGTGTGTGTGCAAGATTTATTAGGACGAAACATTTCCAAACTATGCTCGTCATTTGTGGAAGGTTCTGCTGGCCGAGATGTTTATTCATAACGATCTCATTCATAAATAAAAGCAAAGTACTATATCAGGGAATAGTAATAACCACATTCATCAAGATCCTCAAAAAAAAATCACATTCATCAAGAGAAACATCCAACACGTGGAACCTGGCATCGATGAGGGAGGGAAGCTCTCCAAGAACACGAATCTCATCACTGGACATGTGCATGACACAAAGATAGAGGATCCGGAGGCAACCTAGCTCACCAATCCATTTGGGAACTCTACTGAAAGCCCATGTTTCCAGATCGAGTACCTCTAGATGGAGAGGAGGATCCGACAATGAGTCTAGCTGGCTGCCATTGTCACCAGATTCGCTCGGGCAGCCGAGGGAGAGGTGTGTCAGGCCTCGGAGCTTTCCAATGGAAGACACCAAAGCATCCACACGGTCAGCCGTCAAGCACCGGCCATAAGGCGTGCATAACGTCAATTCCTTTAGATTGGTGAGCCCGCTAAGGCCTTTGATATCCTCCAGGGAACTCATATTCCACATGCCCAAACAATTTAGGGTGCAGACTGATTTCATGTTCTGGATCCCTTGAGGCAGCGCTATACCATATGGAAGTACAAGATGAAACAAGTTGGGCAAGCGAATTATATCCGATGGAAAGCCTTGTGTGGACCGGCAAACTAACTCCAATGTTTCCAAATAAGCAAGCCCTTGAATTTCAGTAGGTAGCATTATGTCTGCTGATCTTGCTGAAACCTTCAAATACCTCAACAGAAATAAATGACCTATTGCAGTGAGGTCGACTGTTGTATGACATTGATATGAAAACTCAAAAAAAAGCACACGTACGCACTTAAACTGTGAAAGAGGAGGTGTGCATTTGGACTCCCAAAACCGAGCATATGATCTAACTTGTAACATGCTAGTAGCAAGTGTCTCCGATGTTTCATCACCAACACTTGATTTCAGAGATAATCGACGAACCTTGTACTCGCAACTGTGCAATCTTGCCATGTCTTCATAGTTATATGCTACACTGATAAAATTATCTTTTGCACTTTTGCTGAGGATAAAATCAAGCATCATATCGTGTACTCTACAGGAAATTACCTCCCCACCAAATGTCTCCTCGGGCTGAATCAGACTTCAGGAAGATGGATGTAACTAAGGTTCAGTATACCCCTCATCTCTTTGAAGGTGGATTTTGTAGAAATCTTGGCACCAAGGGAACTCACTATGCTCTCCCATTCATTCGGTGATCTTGCTTCTTGGCTAGCTAAGATGCTAGATATGGTGATAATTGCAAGTGGCAATCCGCCACACTTCCTGAGAATTCGAGCTGAAATTTCTTTAAAATGTTCTGGACAGTCATTTTTGGATCCAAATACTCTATTAAAAAATAACTGTCTTGAGTCTTGTTCTTTGAGTGGCTTCATTTTGTAAATGCACGCATGATCATTCTGACACGCCCAGAGAGCTATGTCATCTAATCGTGTGGTTACCATTACTTTGCTTCCATTACCATGTTCTGGAAAGGCACAACTAATAATATTCCATGTTGGTTCATCCCACAAGTCATCAACTAAAACTAAGTACCTGTTGAAATTTTGCATGATTTATCATATGTTAGATCGGTACATGATTATAAGGTAGAGAGAAAAACATGAAAACTAAAATCAAGGAACAAAAATGTAATAAAGATTGATGACACTTGACCTTCAAAATATATGGTTTTTTTAGAAATAACTAACTATAATATACTATAACAGTAAGATGCATCTAGAAGTTTAATGTTTGTTCTGCAGCTTTGATCCTATGATAGCAATATTTATGAGCTAGCACAACTTCTCCATATCCAGAAGGCCTCAAGAGATTTGACGTTGCCCTGTAAGATCTCCTTAATTATTAGGACTTATGAGTGCACCCTTTTGAAGTTACACCCAACCATGTCAAAAACTTTTAGATGACCTCTATTAAATGACTGTCAATGATACTAGTATATGAATGAGTACTAGAAGAAAAGAAAATACCTCTTATGTTTTAGGTATTCTCTTAGGCGGTCAATGATGTCTTGCAACTCTTGAGCATGAGAAGAATCCTCCATCCCAAGCTTTAATTGTAGGCCAGTCAGAAGACTTTTAACATCAGGTCTTTGAGAGACTGGAACAAATGCCTTGCAGTTAAACTGTCCTCCAATCTCATCATACACTTGCTTGGCAAGCGTAGTTTTACCCAAACCTCCGAACCCCATGATGGAAACCACTTTGAGTTTCTTCTTAGAATCCATCAACAAGCCAACAAGCTCTTCTTTCGAGCCATCAATACCAATGATGCCTTCTCTCTCCCTGTAGATCACTGAAATACGGGGATCCGTAACCACGATGCTAGGACTCGAGTTGATGAACTCATCAATCTTGTACCTCTCACGTCGAGCATTCGCCTCCACCACAAGAACCTTGAGCTCCTTGATCCTGTTTGCGATCTGATGACGCCTCCCCAACCTTCTGAGACGCTGAGCCATCTTTCTGATGAAGCCTTTCTTTTCATAGGCGTCTTCAGTATCATGCATGAAGTCATCGATGCAATTCTCCATATCATAGGACATCTCCCTAACATGGTCCCTCCAGTTCTTGGCCGAGGGATCGATCTTATCCATAAGCTCCATCCTGTCAAGAAGAGCTTTCATGGCGCTTAGCTCATCCTTGAGGAAGGAGGCCTGCTTCCTCACACCGGTGAGCCTCCTGTACTCTTCGCCGAGCAGCTTGGTGAGCTTGCCAAGGAGAGGGTTCATCACCCCTGTCGTCGCACTCGCTGCCAGCCTGATGGAGCAGATTGGCGAGATAGCTATGTTTGTGTGCAAGGAAAAATTCCTAGAGAGCAATGGCACTATCTATACAACTGCAATCCTGTAAATTTGCTTCTCAAGACAATAGTAGCATATCTTATGTTTCCCTCAAGATCCGCTAGTGCATTTAGTCAACTCAAGACAGACTGTATAGTGCATCGGGGGTTACTCCTACTGCACACTTTGAAAAATTTGTCTAATTGATACTCCCTCCGTAAACTAATATAAGAGCGTTTAGATCACTACTTTAGTAATCTAAACGCTCTTATATTAATTTACAGAGGGAGTACTCCAACTATGCATTAGAGATGCACGCCGAGATTTGAATACTCCAAGTATGCATTAGAAAGCATTCTTCGCATTTGAACGATGCCTTTTGTCTGCTGCCCCCGCTCCTTCATGTTTGACTTCTCGCTCTTCCAAACATAGGATACTGTTGCTCATTAGCAGCTAATTATGCTATGTTTGTGTGGGCAGTACAAGTTAGTAGACAGAGTTATATTCCCTAAGATTTCGATACCTAGTTAACTCAAAGATTACACACGCTCCACTGGGTGAATATGCACACGCCTTACCATTTAGCACATCTATTTCTTAGACTCTTGTCGAAAGCAAATACTCCTAGTGAGAAACACAAAGCGCGCACACTCACCGGCCCCTGCTGAAAATTATAGTACGTCTTGCGTGCAGCTCAAGAACATGCATCACTCTGCTGAAAATTTTGTCAAAGTTTGATTTTAGACAAAGCTAACATGCGGAGTAAATAAAAATATGGAGAGTAAAATACCATTGTTGAGATAAAAAAATCAATCAGGAAATTGTTTTCACCACTTCGTTATAAGTACTTCCAAAAAAAAGAAGAAAAGATTGTACTTATTAAAAATTATAAAAATAAAGTAAGTGTACGAAATAGGAAAAAAATGCAAGAAAACATGTTAAAAAAAGGTGAATCAAAAAAGTAAGAGTGAAAATAAAAGACAATAAATAGGAAAACATAAACAGGAATAACCAAGAAAAGAATTAAAAGAACCGAGGTAATATAAGAGAACTAGGAAATTTGACTCATATATTTTTCATGTATTTTGGAATTTGGAGATTCCAGACATAATTTTCAGGTAATTCTGTCCTTTGTTCATCATTATAGTAAGCATTTTGACTCATACATTTTTTCTTACACATCACACGCGATCATGTTCGATGATCTGTGCTAGAATTCATGAAACGCATCTTTATTAAATACACTGTTACTTGAATAATTTACATCATGTTAAAGCATGCATTGCGGTGCACCCATTGTCGGACCAATGTCTGACATCTCAAAAACGAGTCTTTGGTGAACTAAGCCTAGTTTAGATAGTTAGGCTCTTTTGTCAGCCTAACCGGGTTCAAGTCTTTGACTTGACACGAGTGCTCACATATTTTCTGGATTTATTTCAGGCTTGTGCCTTCCAACTACATAATATCAATATTGGCCGGTTTAGTCTACTCATAGAGGTAGGGTTGTGTGCGCGTGTTCATAAGGATGATTGTTAGTTAACTCATAGAGGTAGGATTTTTTTAAATTCATTAAAATTCTTAGAGGTAGGCCTATAGGATGAAAAATGGGTCCAATTAGAGCCCACTGCTGAACCGAACGACAAGAACAGAGAATGGCAGCCCATTCTCACCGGCCCCCATTTCTTTCCTTCCCCACACACAACTAGACCACCGCCGCCATCGCCGCCGCCGCCGCCATGCTCCGCCTCCGAGGGCGCATCGTTGCCCATCTCCTCTCTTTCTCCTCCACCTCTGCCCCGGCCATCTCCCCTCTCCACCGGCTCCTCTCCGCATCGGCAGCCGCCGGCCCCATTTCTCCGAACCCCGGTGGATTCGCCGTCGAGGACTACCTCGTCGACACCTGCGGCCTCACCCGACCTCAAGCCCTCAAGGCCTCCACCAAGTCCCCCGCCAACCCCGACGCCGTCCTCGCCTTCCTCGCCGGCGTCGGCCTCTCCGGCGCCGACGTCGCCCCGGTTGTCGCCAAGGACCCGCAGATCCTATGCGCCAAAGTGGACAAAACCCTGGCTCCGGTGGTCGATGGGCTCACCGGCCTCGGCCTGTCGCGTTCCGACATCGCCAGCCTCATCTTGCTCACCCCCGGCGGCTTCCGCCGTAGAGCCATAGTCTCCAGGCTGCAGTACTACCTGCCCCTCTTCGGCTCATTCGACAACTTACTCCGGCTGCTCAAGCGGGGAGGATCCCACCTTCTGTGGGCGGACCTCGACAAGGTCGTCAAGCCCAATGTTGTGTTCCTGAGGGAGTGCGGGCTAGGTGATTGTGATATTGCCAAGCTGTGTATCCGTATGCCGAGGTTGCTCACCACTAATCCAGAGCACGTCGGGGCGATGGTCACATGTGCTGAAAAATTAGGTGTGCCCTGTGGCTCTGGGATGCTCAGGCAAGCGCTTCAGGCTGTCGCGTTTCTCAGCGAGGAGAAGATTGCCGCCAAAGTGGACTACTTGAAGAATACGTTCAGGTGGTCTGATGCCGAAGCTTGTGTTGCTGTGCGCAAGTATCCGAGTGTGTTGAGGAAGTCAAAGGAATCTCTGAAGCTCAGGTCTGAGTTCCTGGTCTCTGAGGTGGGACTGGAACCCGTGTCCATTGCTCATCAACCGGTAGTTCTCAGTCTTAGCTTGGAGGGCCGGCTCAGACCCCGGTACTATGTTATAAAGTTTCTCAAGGAAAATGGACTGCTACATCGTGACCCGAGCTTCTTTACTGCGGTCAAGATCACTGAGAAGGTATTTGTGGAGAAACTCATATCCCCTCACAAGGAAGCTGCACCACACCTCGCTGAAGACTATGCAACAGCTTGCAAAGGGGAAGCGCCAAGTAATTTCATATTTAGATGGACCAGGAACAGGCTATGAAAATCCGTAACCTGTGTATGGCGCAAGAAAGTTTTCACTCTGTGTAGTAAGTTGGTAACTCCTGCCTTGGTGTTTAGGCCTAACTGGATGTTGACTATCTTTTCTAGTGTGTTTGCTACTTGCCAGTTTGCTCATTGCTAACTCTTGATGTAACTAGTGATAAATTGATTTCTGAACCCTGATAGGCTGTTGTTGTCATTCCTTAGAGAAGATCCTTCAAAATATCAGTCTGGTCTGCTTTTATGACAATTTTTATCTAGCATGTTCCCTTTTGATTTCATTGTATTTTCAGTTGCATCATATTTCAGTTAGTACTAAGTTTGCGGTTCAATGTTCAGTATTTGGATTATTCTTACAAATATTATGACAGTTAGTACTAAAGTTTGTAGTTCAATGTTAAGTATTTACATTATGCTTAGATATATATTTCTAATTGATGTCGGTTCTTTTTTAATCTTTTGTTTTCTTCCTCCTTATTCATTCCTAAATACCATAGTTGACCTTTTCTTTAGTTTGGAAATTTCAAATTTCTACATATGAATCAGTCTTATCATTTGCATCCCTCATTAATCGTCAGAATAAACCAATTGAGGTGCCATGTATAACAAGCAAGTCCAATGAAGTTTGAACTAACACTTGTTCTTGTGGACATATGAAGAAGAAAAGGCTATGAGATTTTCCCACTACAACCTACTGCTTGCACCGAGGGCAAACGTTTTTTCTTCACATCTGTCTACAATTCAGTGAAATCATAGATTTAAGAATATAGTTTGCAACAAAATTCATCCCAGTTTTCTGCCTTGAAACGACACCGAGACCTTCAATCTGTTGTCCATCTTAACATAAAAAGTTGCGAATTGTTTTGTCTAGCAAGGACTAAGATTTCAGAGTTGCTCGACTAGTACTTGTCTTGCAACCAAATTAGTGTCACTACATGTCCACGAGTCAGTGCCCTGGGCACTTGTAATCCTTCGTGTTTAGTGATGTATGTATCTGTTCTGATTGTGTTTAATAGCAGGGATAACTAACCATGGTACTGTTACCATGGCACTATATACAAATATTTTTCCTGTTGAAACACATGAAAGATCTCAACCATATCGATCTGAAAAAGAAGATAAATGAGAAATAGTATATATTCAGTAAATACAAAATATCAATTCATGAATTACTAAAGATTATACCTGGCCCTGGGTGATGAAGTGCACATCAGCCATCGGTTGTAGTGCGCCTCTGTTCTGTTGCTTCTGCAGAGCGTCAGCAGATCTGGGCTGCTGTTGCTATTTTGTTCTGCTCAGTGACTTGGAATGAGTTTAGTTAACCTGCCTTTCCTGAACTTCATGATCAAAACAGAGAAGAACTTAAGGGACGCAAGAGGGGGAAAAACGAAACACTTAGGCAAGCTGTACATGCTTGTGTTGATCAGTGCTTTATATTTACGTGGAGACGAATGCGTTGGATATTTTGTTCAAATAGGAGGGATATATCTAAGCATATCGCCACTAGGGAAAGGCCACTCTACTGTTCAGGTTGATAAACTTTCCGTAAACGGGGTTTACTTGATCAAAATTGGAGGTTAAGATAGCTTGTTATTTTTCACTGGGATTAGACTTATGTTTTACTCAGAAATTCTGGCTAACTATCTCTGAAATAAAAGAAAAATGAACCTAATTAGTCTGATGTAAAGTTTCTGCTGGACATATTGACAGAACTTATTCACCTGCACCTGGTCTATTTCTGAGGAGTATCTCCAGACTATTTAACCGTTGCAACCACAAGTGCCAATTTTTCAAGACTCCTCACAGGAAGAAAAAGAGGTATAGCAAATCAGGAATGTTTATGCATGGAAGGTCACTTGATGCAGATAGAGAGCATTCCTTACTCTATTTACACATATCTTATATTCCTTCTGCTTGTTCAGCATATATGGTTTGTGGGGCCAGTTCTGTCTGGTCAAGCATGTTAATGTATCAGGGGAAGACTGCATTCTGAGATCAGTTGACATGTTAATGTGGAATAAAAGAAAATGTCACTAAGCTTCTCAACATGGGCATGCTCGACAGCCAGGTAGTTATATAAAATATTCTTATCTATATTTACTGAAGTTTATGTATGTATGTCCAATTTATCCATTAATTTACATCCTTGGTCCTCATGGTGCTGCCACTGAAGTAGATCATAATGCATTTTACTGAAGTGGGAGTAATGCCAGTTCTCCACTCAGTGTAATGTCCCTCTGATATATATGAATCTACTTCTCATTGATGCAAATGATGTACTGCCACACAAGAACAAATACTTTAGTTGTGTACTATAGGAAAAACATGATTCTTCCATCCTGCGACTGGGCGGTTGTATTCAGAGAACGCAGCTATTTTCTTATGCTTGCCTTGAATGGTATACTTCAATTCCACATGCCTAAGAATAATTAAGTTGACCAAACTGGTTCTTTTGTAGTAAGTTTGTAAACCAAGTAACTATAATTCTGAAACAGAGGAAGTTAGTAACACACTATCACCTCTTGCTTATAAACACACTATCAGGTACTAAGTTTGCATTCTGAAACAGAGGAAGTTAGTAACCCAGTATGAGAGTTACCACATTGAATGGAAGATGAAAGAAAAAACAGGTAATAGCTCAGTCTTTTTTTTTCCACTAATATGCTTAGTGATATTATGTAAGGTCTCGCCAGATCAATACTCTTTGCGGTCTGATTAAGATTCAGCTGGTGGAGCTGTCGAATCCATGCCTCTGCACACACCTGCTGGACAATTTTCCAGGTATAAGCACAGTCTCAGCGTGACATCATGTTTCTTATGCCCTGCACCTCCAAGTAGTGTTTTCATTACCGACTTTATGTTATCAAATAGTGCCAGGGATCAACTCTCGTCTGTAAGGCCCTGTTTCACGGATGCGCACTTTTGGCTCTCGGGTGCCCGCGCACCCTATATGCGGAAAAAGAAATTAGTAATTCAAAAAAAGTTCAAAAAATTCCAAATCTTTTTTGGAATCAAACATGATCAGGTATTGTACTCGTATAAAAGATTTGGACAAGAAATGATTCATATTGACTTCGTGGCAAAAAAGACAAGTTTATGACGACAATATAGCGTGTATAGTACTTGTATATAGCGTTTTTTGCCGAATCTTCGACCCAGGACGCAACGAAAGTCATTCTCTGACGAATCTTTTTTATACGACTACAATACTTGATCATGTTTAATACCAAAAAAGATTTGGAATTTTTTGAACTTTTTTTGAATTATTATTTTTTTTTTTTGCATATAGGGTGCGCTGGTACCCAGGTTCTCCTTCATATTTTCGATTCTAGACTCACAAGAACACTTTACTGGTATTCTTATATTTATGGCCTATATCACACAGAGATCTGCCTTATACATTGTATTATCTATTATTCCAGATGCGACTGCCTTCTCTTTCTGTGTAACACTCTGCAATTATTATTTTTGTTTCTCTGCTGCGATCTGCATCTCTATGCAGTGCGTTCCCTCATCACAGTTACTCAGGGTACAGTCTATTGGGGTGATTATCGAAATCCAAAGATACGATTTAAAACTTAGCATATTGTTTTGCTATATGATACTGCTATCCGATAAATAGTAGACACTAAGTTATGTAAACAGCAAGTAGTCTTTGGAGAAAACAAGGGGTCCATGAGTTGAAATCTTTGTGCTTTCGTTGCAGACCTGTACATTCTATCTGGTTGCTGTGAGGTGAGCCCTTTCAGAAACCAGCATTGTGCTGTGTCACAGCAGTTTATGTTTACAGAGTTTCTAAGTTGCATGTACAATGATTTCAATTAGCATCCACATCCAGGTCTGACATATAAATTCATTTCTTTTTATATACTGCTCACACAACAGGAGACCTATGGTCTGGTGTCATCAGCACATGTCTATCGTCCGCCTCAGCGGTGGGAACGTCGGAGCGGTGTCTGACAAAACAAAGTGTGTGCCTGTACTCCTTGCCGGCCTGGATGGCATGGCTGAATGGTCTCATCTAATTATATTCTTTATCTAAATCATGGTTGAACGAATTATGTGTTGCCAGTTCCATTTTTCCCATGTTCATATTTTAAGAATGGTCATTGGTTGATTTCATTAGTGAAATTCTGCACTTGCTTCTCTTTCTCTCATTGCTTCATGATTCATGTCATTAGTTAATTTCACGCCTTGCAGTTAGCTCTGCATAGCTGCAGAATTGCAGATAGTTTGATCCAATAGTTTTGCAAATTGTTGTAAATAATATCATGTGGAAAACTTGTCATGGTTACATTTTGCCTTTGTTTTATGTTCTGTTTTCTGCTTGTCATCTTGTTTACGGATTCTTTGTAAGTGCTTCCTTGTGTTGGTTATCTTGTGCTTTGGTTGTCAGATGCTGGCAGATGTTGCGACCCGAGAGAGGCATGGAAGGCAAGCGGGTGAGCGTCACCAGGGGAGGAGGAAGACATGGGCTGAGAGCATCTACAACCATGCATACCTAAAACCAGTTGCCAGGCGCTTCCGCAGAAGGTGACCTGGTACACCCCAAATTTCATCACAAACTACCATGGTAGGCATATCAGATTGCCATTTTCATACAAATCCATGCAACGACATGATCTACGTAAACTAAACCACGCGTTCTCGTCGTCGGAGATGTTGATGACGTTGGTGCCGGAGCTGTCGGCCTCATGGTTATTGGCGGCTGGGCGCACGGTCGACTCAGTCCTCATCCTCCTCGTTGAACTGGGTGAAGAGTTTGTCGATCTCCGCCTTCCGCTGGTGGAGAATGCGGCGGTTCGCCTCCACCCCGTGCTCCACCAGCTCGTCCGTTTGGGCCTCCTCAAATTGCGCCATGGCGTTGGCCATGTCGTGCCCGCAAGCGTCGGATCTGCAGCCGTCGCCGCATCCTCTGGCCCTCCTCCTCCTCCTTCATGGCAACGTTGTCCTTTCCCGACTCCTTCTCTTCCTTCTCCACCTCCGCCTCCTCCCCCTCCTTCTATTCCTCCTCCGCCTTCCCCTCCTCTTCCTCCTCCGACTCTGGCTCCTCCTCCAGTTCGGGCGAATCCGGCGGAAGGCCGTCAGCGAAACGAGCAACACGTCTCGCCCAGATCTCCTCCAACAGCTGCAATCGACACTGCAACAAATTTTCGGGCGAATCACAAAAAAATATTATTGTGCGTTTTTAGGTAAAAATTCAAATTTAATGAACATAAAGCAAAAATAATCTAGAAATGGAGGAGAACATATTTTTTTGTGAAGGATCAAAAAAGGAAAACAAAAGGAAAAACTAGGAAAATCTGGAGAAGGATAACCAAGAAAACAATTAAAGAAATTGAAAAAGCAATTCCCGGTCCATCCCGACATCAAACAGGAAATTAACACAAACCTATTATTTTTTCACATTAATAAAAGCTAATACCAAGAAGAAAGTATCTATTGGTGAAAAATATTCTCCATCTTTAAATTAATGCAGAAGAAAAAAGATGATAGTCTTTCTTAAGATATATTCGTTGTCTATGGTATTTTTTTATGTATATCCTCGCTATGGTTGTGGAAAGCATTTCATTAGAATAAGAATACTATATAAAAATGAGCAAACTATTCCATAAAACACAATTTTTTTTTAAATTAATAAAAAATTAATTGTGACACAAATTTTCTATTAGATGCAAAGTTTTTCTCCATTTTTATAAGCAGCGTCAAAGGAAAAAAGAAAAGTACTGCACATTTGTTTGTAGTGAAAAATCCAAAATGGAAACCGATAAATAAACAAAATAGATGACAGAAAATAATTAAATAAAATGTGGAGGAGACATAGTAGGAAAAGTAAATAAAAATAAAACCATGAAAAGAGAAGGAAATGTATTTTGTTTTGGACAAGGGAAAAAAATGGATGACAAAAATGGAGCCCACGGAGACAGAGAAAAAGAAGTTGAGCCCATTCTGATTAACCACGACGCGCAGAGGGAGAGCTGCCATTGCAATCTATCGGAGATCTATCTCTGCATCGCCGCCGGCGCCGTTGCTCTTGTCGCCGCCGTCCCCGTCGCCGGCTGCGCCATGCTCCGCCTCCGCGAGTGCGTCGTTTCCCGTCTACTCTCTTCACCCTCCACCTCCAGCTCTGCCATCTTCCCACTCCGCCACCTCCTCTCCGCAGCCGCAGCCCCCATTTCCCCCGGATTCGCCGTGGAGGAGTACCTCGTCGCCACCTGCGGCCTCACCCGACCCCAAGCCCTCAAGGCCTTCAAGAAGCTCTCCCACCTCAAGTCCCCCGCCAAACCTAACGCCGTCCTCGGCCTCTCCGGCGCCGATGCCGCCGCCGTCGTCACCAAAGATCCGCTGTTCCTCCGCACCAAGGTGGACAAAACCTTGGCCCCTAAGGTCGTCGGGCTCACTGGCCTAGGTCTCTCGAGTCCTGACATCGCCTGCCTCGTCTCCCTCACCCCCGACTGCTTCCGCTCCAGAAACATCGTCTCCAAGCTGCACTACTACCTGCCCCTCTTGGGCTCCTTCCACAACTTCCTCCGGCTGCTCAAGCGCTCACCCCGCCTTCTGTCATGGGACCTCAACAAGGTGGTCAAGCCCAATGTTGTGTTCCTGAGGGAGTGCGGGCTAGGTGATTGTGATATTGCCAAACTGTGTATCCATGCGCCGAGGATGCTCAGCACCAACCCGGAGCGCGTCCGGGCGATGGTGGCATGCGTGGAAGGTATAGGCGTGCCCCGTGGCTCTGGGATGTTCAGACAAGCGCTATGCGCTGTCACATTCCAAAGCGAGGAGAAGATTGCCGCCAAAATGGAGTACTTGAAGACCACGTTCAGGTGGTCTGATGCCGAAGTGAGCATGGCTGTGCGCAAGTATCCGGGTGTGCTGAGGAAGTCAAAGGAATCTCTGAAGCACAGGTCCGAGTTCTTCTTCTCTGAGGTGGGGCTGGAACCAGCGTACATTGCTTATCGTCCTGCGTTGCTCTCTTATAGCATGGAGGGCCGAAACAGACCCAGGTACTATGTTATCAAGTTCCTTAAGGCAAATGGATTGTTAGATCAGTACCGGGACTACTATAGCATAGTCATGCTGAGTGAGAAGGTATTTGTGGAGAAGTTCATATGCCCTCACAAGGAAGCTGCACCGCACCTCGCTGAAGACTATGCAACAACTTGCAAAGGGGAGGTGCCAACTAATTTCAGATTTACTTGAACCAAAAGTGGGCTAAGGAAATTGGTAACGGCGTATGGCGCAAGAAATTTTTCACTCTGTGTAGTAAGCTGGTTGTTCCTGTTTTGGTGTAGTCTTGCTGAATACTAAAAGAGTTTGGTGCAGACCTGTCCATCTCTTTGGTTGCTATGAGGTTATGTTGTGCCACAACTGTCTATGTTTACATAGCTTCTAACTTCCAGCTACAAAGATTGAAGTGCCCACAGTTGCAAAAGAAAAGACTCCACATCCGGTACTCAGCTTATTTCTTACAGTTAGTTCTGCTTTAGTTACATTCTATTGCAGTTAATAACTTAATATTGTATCTTCAGTTCATTCTATTTTAAGTATATTTTTTCAAGACTAAAACTATGAATTTCGACCATCATGTGTTATATGAAATTAAAATGGAAAATTATGAAAGAATGTTGCAAGGGAAATTTAATGAGTGATTGCATGCTCCATCAGTAGGAGCAGCGCAGCTTGTGGCATCCTAGGCATCATCATCTGGCACACTGGCACTGGTGTTTCCCTTGCCCGAAGGAGAATCGGTTGCTGTCGGTTGCCTAACCCCAAATGGATAGATGAACTGCTCTGAACTTTTAGGATACCAGCTGTTGTTTTTATCTTTTGAGCGTGTAGTTTCAAATTGAAATCGAGAATGTTACCTGCTGATAAGCTGCTGCAGGTACTCATCGCCATCTTGATCTCGGTTTGGGGGAGTATTAGTTTACTTTGGAGCTCTTTGGTTTTCTTCATTTATCCTTCTTTTTTCACCCTTTTTTTGGGTTTCTTTCCTTTCTTTTCATTTATTTGTATATGTTTTTCTTTATGGTTTCCATCGGTTTTAGAACCTTTTTAATTGTCTATTTTTGTTTCTATCATTTTCCTCGGTTTTCTATGTACATTTTCCATGTACATGTGAATTTTTTTCTACATGTTATTTTTTAAAATACACAATTAACATTTTTTAAATAAATGTTTTGGTGTCTACATTTCTGTATAGAATAAAAAACATTTTTTATAAATGTTTAGCATTTTTCAGTGCTCCCTCTGTAAAATAATACGAGTGTTTAGATCACTATTTTAGTATTCTAAACACTCTTATATTAGTTTACAGAGGGAGTACATGACTAGCATTTTTAGATACAATTATTAATAGTTCTTTCAAATACATGTTTGATGTCTACTTTTTTCATAAACTTTGTATATACTTCATATGCATTTGAAACATTTATTTAATATACATTTAACATTTTCCAAATGCATTTTTACATTTTTTGTATAATGTCATATAGATATTTTTGAAACGTGTGCTTTTTTTAAATGTCACAAACATTTTTTTGTATGCTATCAACATTTTGCATATACATTCGAAACATTTATTTGATATATGTTTAACATTATTAATGATGTCACATATATTTTCTGCAACAAGGAAAAAAGTTTAAAGGTCACAAAGATTTTTTTCAATATGCTAATCGAAATATTCGAAAGACATAGTTTAAAAATAGAAATACATAGTTTAAATTTGGAAGTACATTTTTCAGACATAATATTGCTCGGAGGACATAGTTCAATTTTTTGCAAAGGAAATCATGAATCCCTTAAATTGAAAACATGTACCTCTTCCTTGTCTATCGCTTCGAGGATATTCAACATCACCATCAACTCATAATGGTCTTCATCGTCGTCCGACGACTATTCAAAGAATTCATTGTAAAAAAAAAACTCATCCATAATGTCCATTACGTGCCCTGCAAATGTGCGAAAAAGAAAGTCAAAACATGTCCGGCCAATTTGTCGGACATGTGGCATGCGAGGTGGATCCATCAACGGCCAATGTAGGACACACCGAAGTGACCAGTGTGTCGGGGACAGTGACCGTGTTAGGGGCGGTGCTTCGAGGTGGTTGTCAGATGCTGTCAGGTGGGGACAATGGAAGGAACAAAGGAGGAGATTCCCAGGGTGAAAACCCAAGGTCTGGCCTTCATTGGTTGTACATGGCAATGTCCTTGTTGAAGGCATTATTTTTGGGTGAACTCGGACTTTCTTCAGGGTGAAAACTCAAGATCTTCAATCGGGCAACGACAACAATTGTTCATTGTTTCCTTGTTGAGGCATTGCTTTCGGAGAACCTTTTTTGTATGCCGGGTGTTGTCTTCGGTGGTGGTTAGCGTGTTGTTGTTGCTAGTGACTGATCATCGTGGGCAGTTTTTTTTTCTTTTGTTCTTTATATTTTCTTTTTTTGGCCCTGTGTATGCTTGATGTCTTTGGTCTTGTTGGTACAGAGGCTGGATGTAATTGGTATTTTCGTAATATTAATATACTCCCTTTATCTAAAGGAGGAGAGGAGGAAGAGGGTAGGGGAATTTTGCTCGGTTTGAGATGGGGCCATCTTCACCCTGACATATGTGTTATATTTGTGGGAGTCTAGACATATGGGCTAGGTTTGGGGGAGCCTATTGGGTCATCGCTATTTGTGCATGTACTATCCCCCAGACATTTGGAGGAGGAATGACTATGCCCCTGAAGATGTCCCTCCGATCCAAAAAAAAGTGTCATGACTTTGGTCCAATTCTCAGCTAGAGGCACGACACTTTTTTTGGATCAGAGGGAGTAATAAAGTTCACATGTATGTCAAATAAAACATGTATGCAACTTTTTTTAGACATGTAAAAATGCGGAACGAAACATAGCACCACGGAATGAAACATACAATACTCCCTCTGATCCAAAATAAGTGTCGCCATTTAAAAAAAAAACTAAGGTTAGTTGACACTATTGTCTTGTTCCTTGCAATTGTTAGCTAAGCCATGATCTTTGTCATCACCCTGCAGCAACTGCTCAAGTCAAACTACCAACCGCTGGCTCTGACTAGACTTCAGACTTGCTGTATGGATGGTCTGACCCATCAGCGAGCGCTGCTCTGAACTGCTGAAGAAGGGGCCTCATTTTCGGGTCTGTAAGCTGATTTTGGATGTTCCGTCACACCTAGTTTGTATTTTGTCATACAATGTCCTCCATGTCTAGCATTCTAGCTAGTCGGCTCTCTGCTTGTCTTTGGATACTTTGATGATTCGACGGCTCAAGCGCATCGTTCGGAGCCGTCAAAACAATAGTCTATGGCATTATCTATTATTTTCCTTATGTATATCAAACAGTACAATCTTCACTACACTCTAATAATTATATCATCAGACAACAAAAAAAATTCATACAACCCTTTTTTCTCACATTAATAAAAAATTAATACCAAGAAGAAAGTATTTGTTAGTGAAAAGTATTCTATATCTTTAGAATTAATGCAAAATAAAAAAGATAATTGTATTTATTAAGATATATTCATTGTCTATGAATTTTTTTAATGTGTATCAGTATGGTTGTAAAGATTATTTCATCAGATTATAAATATTATATATAAATGACTAAACTATTCCATGAAACATATTTTTTGAAATTAAGAAAATAAAAATTTTGAAAACAGAATTTCCATTAGATGCCAAGTTTGCCTCCATTTTTATAAGCAGCGTCAAAGGAAATAGGTAGTACCACACATTTGTTTATAGTGAAAATTCAAAAATGGAAATACATAAAAATAAAACAAAATATGCAACAAAATATATGATACGAATACGAATAATTAAAAAATGTGGAGGAGACATAGTAGAGAAAGTAAATAAAAATATAACCATGAAAAGGGAAGGAAATAGATTTTTCTTAAAACAAGGGAAGAAAAATGGATGAGAAAAATGAACATCTGTTATTGGGTAGGTGTATCAAAAACCCGGTCCATTAGAGCCCACGCACACAGAGAAAAAAAGTCCATTAGAACCCACGCACACTGAGAAAAAAAGTCCATTAGAGCCCACGCACACTGAGAAAAAAAGTCCATTAGAGTCCATTAGAGCAGAGGCAGAGCTGCCATTGCAATCCATCGGAGATCTCTCTCTCTCTCTGCATCGCCGCCGGCGCCGTTGTTCTCGCCGCCGCCGGCTGCGCCATGCTCCGCCTCCGAGAGTGCTTCGTTTCCCGTCTCCTCTCTTCACCTTCCACCCCCACCTATGCCATCTTCCCACTCCGCCGTCTCCTCTCCGCCGCCGCGCCCCACATTTCCCCAAATCCCAGTGGCTTCGCCGTGGAGGACTACCTCGTCGACACCTGCGGCCTCACCCGACCTCAAGCCCTCAAGGCCTCCACCAAGCTCTCCCACCTCAAGTCCCCCGCCAACCCCGACGCCGTCCTCGCCTTCCTCGCCGGCGTCGGCCTCTCCGGCGCCGACGTCGCCCCGGTTGTCGCCAAGGACCCGCAGATCCTATGCGCCAAAGTGGACAAAACCCTGGCTCCGGTGGTCGATGGGCTCACCGGCCTCGGCCTGTCGCGTTCCGACATCGCCCGCCTCGTCTCGCTCGCCCACAGCGGCTTCCGCTGCAGATCCGTAGTCTCCAAGCTGCACTACTACCTGCCCCTCTTGGGCTCCTTCCACAACTTCCTCCGGCTGCTCAAGCGGGGAGGATCCCACCTTCTGTCATCCGACCTCGACAAGGTTGTCAAGCTCAATGTTGTGTTCCTCAGGGAGTGCGGGCTAGGTGATTGTGATATTGCCAAGCTGTGTGTCCCTGTGCCGAGGATGCTGACCACCAACCGGGAGCGCGTCCGTGCGATGGTGGCATGTGCTGAAAGATTAGGCGTGCCGCGTGGCTCTGGGATGTTTAGGCAAGCGCTGCAGGCTGTCGCGTTTCTCAGCGAGGACAAGGTCGCCGCCAAATTGGACTACTTGAAGAATACGTTCAGGTGGTCTGATGCTCAAGTGAGCATTGCTGTGCGCAAGTTTCCGAGTGTGCTGAGGAATTCAAAGGAATCTCTGAACCACAGGTCCGAGTTCCTGTTCTTTGAGGTGGGGCTGGAACCCGTGTACATTGCTCATCGATCGGACATACTTTCATATAGCATGGAGGGCCGACTCAGACCCCGCTACTATGTTATCAAGTTTCTCAAGCAAAACGGACTGCTAGATCGTGACCTGAGCTTATATTCCGCGGTCAAGATGACTGAGAAGGCATTTGTGGAGAAGCTCATATGCCCTCACAAGGAAGACGCACCACACCTCGCTGAAGACTATGCAGCAGCTTGCAAAGGGGAAGTGCCAGCTAATTTCAGATTCATATGAACAAAAAACGGCTATGGAAATTGGTTACAGTGTATGGCGCAACAAAGTTATCACCCTGCGTGTAAGCTGTTACTTCCTGTTTCAGTGTTCTTTGCCTTACATGATGTTGGCTGTTTTCTGTAGTATGTCTGTTGCTAAATGCTAACTCCCTATGAAACTGATAATTTGTTTCCTGAACCCCCATATATGTTGATGTTGTCATTCCTTAGAGGAGATCTCTGTAAATGAGAAGTTTATGGATATATATGTGATTCCGACTTGCATTGAAGATCATGGAAACTGGATGTGTGGGTGGACTAATTTTTTGTTGAAACCAGCACCCATGAAACCAGAAAACAGAAGAATATTGTTGTGTTGTTTTCCACTGAAATGTATCAGTATGATCTGCTTTCATGCCAAAATTTATCTATCATGCATGTTCATTTACATTTCCTTGTCTTTTAGGTTCCACTGTATGTCAATTAGTATTAACATTGTTTTATATTTAGGTTAGACTAAGAGACACCGAGACCTTCTACTGGTTGCCCATTCTATAACCTAAAGAGTGGCAAATTGTTGTGATTTGTGATGTATATGTGTTCTGGCTGTGTTTAATGAACAACAGGGGTAACAATCCCCGCTGCTGTTACCATGCCATTATATACAAACATTTTTCCTGTTTGAACACATGAAAGATCATAGCCATTTCGATCTGAAAAAGAAGAGAAAATTGCAGCAATTACTTGTATTGTCTAAAAGCTGCAAACTGCAGCTGATGACCGACAAGATGAGAAATGGTATATATTCAGCGAACACAGAATATATACCTAGGTGATGTATAGTACATATTCAGATAAGATGGGTATCAGTACGAAAAAATCACCCTGCTGTTAAGATTCATAAACTTTTCTTAAGAGAGTTTTACTTGAGCAAAATTAATGGTTAAGATATTAATGGTTAAGATAGCTTGATACTCCCTCCGTCCCAAATAAGTGTCTCTAAAGTTGAGACACTTATTTTGGGACGGAGGGAGTCTTTTTCACATGGATTAGAATTATGTTTATGCAGAAGTTACAGCTAACTATCTCTCAAGTAAAAGAAAAACAAATTAGTCTGATGTAAATTTTCTGTTCCACTGAAGCATAATATGGTGATTCTGAATTACCACATTAAGCATGAGTATATTTTTCTGACTTTGAAATGATGGACGCTGCAAGTGGTTTGAGGTTCATAATGACCAGTTCAGACTATTAAACATTAATTTTTGTCTGAAGAAGTGGGTGTTTCGATTGATGCGTCAGGTCAAAATTGTATATGTGATTTAGGTTAACATTGCAATGACCACTTTTCTTGGAACACAAAAGTAAGTTATTATTACTCCCTCCGTCCGAAAATTCTTGTCTTAGATTTGTCTAGATACGGATGTATCTAACACTAAAACGTAACTAGATACATCCGTAATTAGAAAAATCTAAGACAAGAATTTTGGGACGGAGGGAGTATATACTAGCCCCCCATGATTCTGTTGTATATAAATTCAGTTTTGTGTTCTGGTTACACATTTGTTTAGGTACAGACCTGTCCCTCTGCCTGGTGCTATTAGGTGTGCCCTTTCAGAAACCAGCATTGTGTTGTGGCACAGCTGTTTATGTTTGTATAGTTTATAACTTCCAGTTAGAAAGATTTAAGTATCTACATGTTGCAAAAGAAAAGAGTATCCACATCCAGTAGTATCTAACATTTAAATTCAGTTCTTTCTCCATACTGATTCACATCCAGTATTCAGCTTGTTTCTTACAGCTAGTTCTGCTTTAGTTATCAACCCCATCCCTTGGAAGAAAGAAGGTAGCACCGAAGATTGCAGTTAATAACTTAAAATTGTATCTTCAGTTCACTTATTATTTCTGTCACGACTACTACAAATATACTTGGATAACGGTCACGCAACCTGCACAAGGACATTCACCGTACTCTTTGCATACATGTGTAGGTGGCTAGCCATCCAATGTCTTGTGCAGCAACATCTTCAACTGTTTGGACGGTTTCGTACTTAGCAACACCAACCACCGCCTTGTGATTGGCCAAATATAGTAGCAACCAGTTGTGTAGAGAGTCAATTTGCTTCATATAATCAATCATGCAATGCACTTAACAATGAACGATCACAATCATACATTACATACATATATAGGTTATTATCATATAGACTATAGGAATAGTATGACAACCCCGATAAGTTCAAAGGGACAGACATGCTATGAGTCTCTCGAACCATATATATCTCATTAATATGAATATCTTGGTTAGACTTAGGCCGCTGGTTTTAACTAAGCATTAAACAAAAGCTGCACTGCATAAACAAAACCAAGCACCAAACAAATAATGATATACATTAATCCTGATGAGTAGATCCATCATGGAAAAGGAAACTTTCCTAATCGAAAGAGAGAACTGAAGTTTAAAACTTGAAATGAAGAAGCAATGTCTGAAATAGCTTGTGGAAGCTCTACTAGCTAGTGATCTGAAATGATAAGATGTTGCACGGTATGAGACAAGTCTAGGCGATAGCTAGCTCCGCATCCCCGTGTTGCTCCCTATGCGACGCTAGGGGTGAACCCTAGTGCCGCCACCAACCAACCCTGCCGAGATTCGTCCTTCCACATACCTTCGACTTGCACCGTGGCGGCGTTGGACATCATGACCAAATAGTGGTGGGTGATCTCTTCCTGGTGTTGGTCGTATTGCGTGTGGCTACGGTGGCCGGAGGTGAGGAAGTCGTGGTGGCGTGCGGTGTTCTTATCCTGTCGAGGAAGATCTCAACGCATGGGGTGGCAACTTGGTTCGCGACAGCCACAGGTGGGCCCGATCGCTCGTGCGGGCCCACTACCAACGCATCCAGTGGCGCCATGGATTAACCATGATCCAATGGGTGGTGTCGGTGCCCCATCACAGAGGCATCATAGGCGCGAGTCAGCGAGTGGAGGATGCATCACTCACGTTTAGGGTTGTGACTTGTGACAGATGTTACCATCAAGTGCAGTTCTTGTTGGGGAACGTAGTAATTTCAAAAAAAATTCCTACGCACACGCAAGATCATGGTGATGCATAACAACGAGAGGGGAGAGTGTTGTCTATGTACCCTCGTAGACCGACAGCGGAAGCGTTATGACAACGCGGTTGATGTAGTCGTACGTCTTCACGGCCCGACCGATCAAGCACCGAAACTACGTCACCTCCGAGTTCTAGCACACGTTCAGCTCGATGACGATCCCCGGACTCCGATCCAGCAAAGTATCGGGGAAGAGTTCCGTCAGCACGACGGCGTGGTGACGATCTTGATGTTCTACCATCACAGGGCTTCGCCTAAACACCGCTACAATATTATCGAGGAGAATGGTGGAGGGGGGCACCGCACACGGCTAAGAGAACGATCACGAAGATCAACTTGTGTGTCTAGAGGTGCCCCCCTGCC